TGGCCGGGGGTTCTTCTCCCCCAGCCTCGGATTAGCCGTTGGGGGAAGGCGTCAGCACGTCCCCAGTGCCCACATCCTCCTCGCCCCGCCGGAGCGGCTGGCACTCCCACACTGGGGGAAGTGACGGCAAGTTCTCATAGTGCAGCAACGCCGTTCTGCGATGGGAGCAGCCAGGTAAGCCCGCGTCCTCCCGGGTGATTTTCAAGCGCCCGCCTCGGCAGAGAGAGGAGGTGCTGGGGGGCAGCAAGCCGTTGACGTTCTCGTAGACGCACTGGGATGAAGGGCACTCCTCCTCGCACTCGTTGTTGTTGTTGTTGGGGGGGCAGAAGTGCGTCCTGCACTCCCGGCGGTGCCAACAGACGCGTCTGTAGTTGGATGTGGGACCTAACACGAACTTAACCTCCCCTGGCTGCAGAAAGACCTGAGGATTGCGGTCTTCAAGAGAGCAGCTGTGGTTCCTATGGGGGAAAGGAGGGTGGACTTCAGGCAAGGAGTGCATACAATGTCGGCCCCTCAGCTCCTGATCACCATTGGCCGTGTTGACGTAGGTGTGGGACTGCAAGGAGAGAAGCAGAGGGACAGTGAAAGGAGAAGAGAAGAGAGAAGAGCAAAGCAGCTGTCAGCAGCTGAGAAACCAACAGGAATGGAAAATTTTTCAGTGGCTGATGAAGCAGGAGGTGATGAAAGAATTCCAGAAGTTGAAAATATTTTGGGAAGCAAAACACAAAAGCCGTTTGTGTATTTGTGGGCTGAAGGAGAGACAAAAAGGAGTCCAACTGCAGAAGATACACATCATCTATTTCACGCTCGATGCATATGGCACAGAACAAAAAGCAAAGCCACTTGCAAAATACTTCCTTGAGCAGCTTGGACTGGCGATATTGCAGCACTCAAACCTACCTAGGCTTCTCTGATAATGGCTGCGACAAGCTGGATTTTGTAAGGAAAAAGCTTAAATTCTAAAACTGAGAACATTAAAAACAACCATAAAAAGACTCTGAACTTGGGTATGCATCTGCACATCAGTTTAGGGCTTGCACTAATAGCTGACAGATAAAGCAGTATGACTTGGACTCAGAAGCTAAGTGCTGCTGTTAAATAATTGCCACGCAAATACTAGTGGATTAAGGAAGCCAACTCAGCAGGCCTTGATGGAGTGCCTGTTCTAGTGAAACGTCAGAGAGCAGAAGTCTCCAAGAGCAAAACGAAGCAGAAAAGAAAAAAAGGTTGACAAGGTATGAGGATCCCCTGAGCTTTGCTGGAATAAGAGAGACCCAGAATTGCACAGGACTGCTAGCAAAACAAGCTGCTTGTTCATTGCTTGCAAACAGCAGAATTTAGGACATCCAGGTGTACCTGCTCATCAGGCCCGATGAGGGCATGAGTAGAGTCTTCGCCCACAGAGGAATGCCTCAGGCTGCTCACGGAGGGGTGGCGGGCTGCGGAGTATGATAGGGTTTCTCCAGGGAAGCTGTGAAATCCATTGGGAAATCCTGGGACAGTGTACCCCAGACCTGGCAGAGAATCAAGACAGATAAGCATTAGAGCATTGGTTTGGTACAAAATAGAGTTGACTTCATTTTCACAGCGAGCTGGCCTCTTAACTGCACCCTGTAAGTCAGGATCAGCCTCTCTGGAGAAGATCCCTATGACGAAGTACCTAGTATAAACGTAAGGGCTAGGCCCTCTTGTTTAAATCTATTCAAGTCACTCCTAACGGAGACAGGAATTGAGCAAATCCGAATTCTTCCAGATGTGGTTTCCTCCAGGAACCACCCGATCCTTGTAGGCGCTACTTAAAAAAGGCCACTTGGCAGCGGTCCAAACCAACCGAAGGGTGAAGGGTGACAACTCGGTTGACTATTTGAAGGGCTTTTTGTTGCCGTTTCCTTGGAAACAAAATACCACATCACAGCCAAGTGGGGCCTTAAAATAAACATGCTGCATGGGGTACAGATGGACATAAAGATACAGGTCAGCAGTAAGACAGCACATGGGAACGATCCACGGGCTGCAAAGGGCAGTTTCATGTGAGCAATTGCAGACATCGCCCACGTCTCTGTGTTCCCCCTTCTTCTCCCCGGGCACTGAAGCAGCCTTACTGTTGGGTGCCTGGGGGGTCCGGGAGAGCTCACGCTGCGTAGGGTGACTGTTCCTGGTGATGACAACAGGTTCTTCCACTACGTTGATACTGTTACACTGCATCAGGTCCTGAAGCAGATTAAAGATCTCCTCTGCTCTGGAACACTTGAAGGCAAAAATCCCTGCACAGTAACAAAGCGGAGGGTCAGAAAAGCAAGAGTATATGTAATTCCCGACTCTAAACGAATGGGCAGTTCTGATTTCTTTTGCTGTGTTTAACACAATCAACCCCTGCAACCCACAACCACAGGAAAACAACCAACAACTCAGTGGATTATTGCATCAACAGAAATACAATGCCATGACTGCCATCTGACCACACGGTGCATGATTACAAGAAAAATAGTGAGCACCCCAGTTATCGTACAACGATCAATTCCACACGAGCAGAGGTATGAAAGGGACAGGCTAACTGGTCTCGTTTCATCTCTCATCTTCTGTTTTAACTCGGCACCCTGTTCAATTCTCACTGCCAGGGGCAAGTCTATCCAATGACTGCTCAAAGCTGAACTGGGCCCTGTGGAGCACACACGTGAGGGAGGGACAAGGACGTCATATTTAAAAACGTATGGAATTAAACAGTGTCTCCCCAAACGAGCAGCCCAAACCGGAGCCGGTGTGTGCAGAGCTAACCAATCCCAAGCTGGCACGCATACACACGCACAAAAGCCATAGCAACGAGAACGGCATGGCAACAACGGCTGCTACCCCAAAGAATAAGGTTTTAAAAATTCTAGCCAAAAACCCAGCCGTATCTGCCTTATATAAGGTGGGGAGCACCATCAGGAAGGAGTCCTGCAGATAAAATTAACTAAGCAGAATAAAATCCTACACGGAAGGGAGAAAACTCATCAAAACACAACGCCGTCCCTCTCATTTCTGTCTGCTTTAAGACTGGTGAGTAAGTATGTGTCTGCTAAATATTTTGTAATATATGAAGAGCGAACGGCTCTGCTTTATCGCCACTACCTGGCCCTAAACAAAACCAAAACACACAGAGGGCAGAATTTTAATTGCCAATCTGCACCCTGCAAAAGGCAGAACAGAAATCGAAGACAGGCAATTCTCATCACTGGCAATTGATAAGTACATGACTCCAGGAGAGGAAAACCCCACTTATATGAATACTAAAAAGGAGCATACGGCACTACAGATTTGCCCAGTGCTTTACACAGACACTGAACAGTCATGCGGAGTCCTTTTGGATACGAAGGAGTTTACAAACACATTAATAGAACAAGGAAACAAACTTTTTTTTTCCTGGGGTGCAGATGCCAAGAAAACATTCAGCTCTTTAAAAGCAAGAGACAGACTGGTAAAGGAACTAACAGGCACCATTGTAAAACTGGAGCCTATTCCCAGTGCTGCTGATGACTTGGCATGTACTCCTGGGTGACTCACTTCCCTTCTCTATGCACAGCATCCCCATGCATAAAATCAGTAAAACGTAAAACTCCTTTCCCTCTACATTACAAAGTGCTGCCAGACATGAAACGCAAGGCATTAAGCAGAACTAGCACTAACCAAGGCAGAGAGAATGCACCGAGAAAAACAAAACGTGCTCAAACGACTGTTGCTACTGACATGCATTTGGCAGCCCAGCAGAAAAAGCAAGCCCTAAGAGGGACTCGCAAAAAAGTGAGGTGATGCCCTTTTGCTTTATGCCCAGAGTTAAAAGATGCTTAACAAAGATTCAGTCTTGCAAGAAGTACTTTCTAGCTCCTAAGGAAAGAAGTCCAGCAACCCCTCCTACCACAGCTCTGCATCACTCGGTACCTAAGCACAGAGCTGACAGTGTAACTAACATCCTCTTGGACATTAAATATGCTCCGTCCAATGCTCAAGCTTGCTTCACCAATTACCTCAGGAGCACCGATGCACTAGCAAAATGAGACCGTTAGATTTATGCCCAGGTCCTGAGCCACAATATGGTTCTCATTAGCGTTTTAATCAGGAGTATTAACTGTATGTGCATGCATACTCTGGTATTCCAGGGGAACAGAGGCTGCAAAAGAACCTGTTGATTCATGAGACACAGGAATTTGGGAAGACACAACCATCAGCTCACTCTGGCTGCCTGGGAACAGAAACCTCAGCGTTCCTTCCTCCAGGAACCTTCACACTCACCCTGCCCCGTCTGGCAGCGACGGCCGCTCTCGAAGGAGAAGAGGTTGGAGTCATAGCCATAGCGGCGCAAGCAGAGGTAGGGCCACCTGACAGCATCTCGCTTGTGAGTGTGCAAGATGAGCTCCGTCTGCGTCAGCTCCATAATCCCAGATCCCAGCTCGTTACCTTCATCATCCACGTTCGTTACCTGCACAGGCCACAGAGCTCACATCAGGAAACGCAGTGCATTGGTATCAAAAAAAAAAAAAAAAAAAAAAAGCCCACCCACGAAGACACTGTAGTTCCCCTGGATTCCCCCTTCATTTACTGAGATGCCTTTTTCTCAGCTGAGAGCATGGATTCATCACTGGCAGAAGGCGCCAAGCCGGCAGCCCTGGAGACTGTGTGCTTGGCAGTTCAGCTGACGCGTCTCAGCACAGACACTGGAACACAGCCCTGAGCAATAAAAGGTTTCTCTCCAGTTCCCCATTTCCTTGCTCAGGCTGACTCTCAGTGCAGAGGCAATTTCTACTGCAAATACAAACATAGTCGCAGCAGAGATTGTTTAAGGAAAGCAAAAAAAAATCCAAATGAAAACAGTAAGATACTTGCAAATCTTATCAAGTGAAAGACTTCTCTGCAAAAGCAGAGGTTTTTTTCTTCTCCTTTCACGCCTGGAGTCCAACCCATGCTGGGCTTTGCTAGTAGTCGGTGCTGTGACAGACTCTCTGATGGGGATGAAGGTGCAATACTTACCTTAAATTTGGTGGGATGGTTGTCTGGGATGCTGTCTCTGCACAGACAACTGCAGCAGCTTCCCATGACGTCAGCAGAAGAGGCAATCCCTGGGGAGAGGATGCAAAACAGAGGACAATCATGTTTTCAAACCAACTCCTCCCACCCCCTCCAAACACACAGCATTTACAGCCTGTATCCTCCTCGATCCCCCTGCATGTGGCCCAGTGGGTTTGACCTCAAACTCTTCAATGTGTTCCTTGATTAACAGATACCATACAATGTAAGACTAATTAAAAATAACAGCTTTCTTACCATTAGGCAATTGTTGGATTTTTTTTGAAGAAGTGAGAATAAATTCCCACTACTGTCCCTCTATCTCCTTCAGGACTTCATGGTAACCAGGTTTCAGAGTCACCTAAAACACAAGGGAAATGGTCCCATCTTCCACCTGACAAGGGGAACACAATTAAACAAATTAAAAAGCCAGATAAAATTAAAAAGCAGGGGGTGGAGGTTATGACTGACATTCCCTTCAAATATCACAAGGTTTTTTTTAAATTAATTACCTGTATTTATATGAATATAAAAAATAATTCTGTATAGACGATTCCTGTAATTTCTGGGAAAAAAAAACAAACCACAGTCTACAGCTAAAAAAAAGCTAAAAATAAGAGGTATTTTACTTCTTGGCTTTGGGATCCTACATAGGAGTGGGGTTTATCAGAGCTACTGCACTGCAAATAAAACACAACAGTAATACTGAATGGCTGAGGGCGGTGAGGATATGAGGAATCACACGCATCTGCTGCTTAGGAATGTGAAAGTACCTTCACTCAATGGAAGGTCCTTAAGGGTCAGCGAACCAGCAGCCTTAAAAGCAGGTGAACACACCAGCTGTTCTACTTTGGACTATGAAAAGTAACAAACGCCAGAAAACACGAAAACTCCGCGATCTGACAAGTCAACAAGCGCAAGTATCAAGCAGGCAGGAGCTGCAGGCACTAATAGTGAGAAATACTGCTGTCTTTGATGCAAACTTAAAGGACTCCACATCCACGCTGGGGCAAGGGATTCAGCAGCAGATAACGTGAGAGTATGCCGTGTTTTATTTGGCGAGAACAGCTAATGATCTCTCCATCTGAGGTGTGAGAGAATAAAGCCATATGGATAACCAGCCTGGCACTAGAACAGTAAATAAAATGAAAAGGCTATTGGAAACCTCTCACTCTGCCATGCCAGAACCTGTCTCAACAGTCCCTCCAAATCAAACAATGAATCACAGAGTTGCATCCCCGTGCAAAACCACGTTGCACAGCTGCCCTCAGGGTCCCTCGCGGTGCAGAGGGAGGGGGAAGAGTCAGCGGTGAGCTGACCAAGGGGTCCCATTTCATTTTTTACATCAAAACAGAACCTAAATCACCTTCCACTGCCACCCCATGCCTTAGCTTTGGCCCCTGAAGAACTCCCTACCACATCCTAACCCTGCAAAGTCCCCCAGAAGAGGAATGTCTCCTTTCGAGCAAGCTGAAGGAGCTTGGGTAGAAATCAAGGCAGCTGCCACCTGCCCTCCTGCACATACCTGTCACCCCTAACAGTAATAACGCCACACACTCCCTGTTCAACACCGCATCCTGCTCAAGCCATCCTATTTGTTTTTCTAGACTCAGTATGGATTTACTCCCCGCTGACCTTACAGGCTTTGATCAATAATTTAGCAACAGATCCCTCTCCGCTTCATCTAATCTGGTCACTAGGGGCCTTGTCCTCTACTGTCTCTGCCTCCCCACTCCCATCTCATCAATTCCCTCGGTAAAAAAAAAGAAAACAACCAAAAAACCAAACTTGTAGAAAACATGTTACCTTTGCCCCTTCTTTTTTCTTTATTCCTCTCTCCTGCTGGTGCTCCTTGCACCCGCGTCTGTCTGACCTCCAAGGGGGTTAGGTTGAAGTGCTGGCACCTATCCTGAACAGTTATGATGGTCAGAACTGAACAAATGAGGGGAAAAAAAAAAACCAAACACAACATCGTGAGATGCCTGAACACTCCCTCGGCACTTCCCACTGCTCCTCGCTGTTGAATATTTTAGTGGCATCCCTTTCATGCAGACACTGAGACTCTCCAGACTCAGTGCTTTCGCCACACACCTCTCCAACGGCTGTTTGCCAGTTCAGAGCCTTAACTAGTCAAACCAAACTCTCTAACGTGAGCAAGGGCATTGGCACATTTAGGAGGCACATTGCCTCCTAAAACCAGCAGCCCCATCCTCCCCTCCTGCCTCCCCGCCTCCCCGGACCCAAACCTAAATCCTCCTCAAACCTTCGCAGCCCTCCTGGGCCCTGTCTCCAGACCACAGCTCCCCTCTCCCGGGGGTCACTCGCTCTCATCCCAAACCCTCGGCTCCCACTGAGCCTCCGTCCGCACCCCCAGCCTGCAGAAGACCCCTCATGCCTCTGCCCTCCCCCAAGCGATTCTCTTAAAGCCGGGGCTGCAGAAGAGGGTCCACCTAATCTCAAAGGACCGGGGCACCCCGGCACCACCGGGACCCACTGTCACGGCCCTGTGCAGGGGCACACGGATATGGGATACTTCGCGTGGAAATGCACATGGCCGCACATCAACCC